GTCCTTTTTTATCCATTACTAAAATTATATTTGGGCACAGTGTTTTATCAGAAAGCTTAAACAAACATTTTTATACAAGCCCTTTACTATCTAGTGGTTCCTCCCGAAAATTTTGACGTCCTGAAAAAAATCTAATTATTACTAGTAACTTTAAAAGATCACAGTAATTTATTTTTGTCAAATGTGAGTAAAGATTAATGGATACAATCAGGAATAATTTGGTAAAAACATATCAAATACAAAGAAAGCAAAATTTGTTGTTAAGTGAAGCATCAAATATGATAAAAGAGCAAATTCCATGAATGAACAGCAACAATGTACAATTCATTAACCAAATGCCCACGATTATTTCACACTTCAAAGGGCTACTGATATGATCAGAAGTTGTAGTAAAAGGATAACTATAGATTACCTTCAGCATCTCCTTACACATTTCAATTACAAACAACACTATCCCCCAAAAGCCAGCTCTATGAAAAGATTGCAAAGTGAGGTTTGTCCAGGCCTTCTGTAAATCACAATTCTGCACAAATAAAAGTAAGATGTTATTTTAAGATGGCCATCAATATACGTAGAGATATTAAGAGTACATAACTACTATCTGTTATTAATTATAAGAATTAAAAACGGGCTGGGAAGGTGGCTCCATGGTAGAGCGCTTGCCTTGCATGCCTGAGGCCCTGGGTTCGATTCCTCAGCACCACATAAGCAAAAAGAAAAAAAGCCGGAAGTGGCGCTCTAGCTCAAGTGGTAGAGCGCTAGCCTTGAGCTGAAGAGCTGAGGGACAGCACCCAGGCCCAGAGTTCAGGCTCCACCACCAGACCCAAAAAAAAAAAGAATTAAAAACCTACCAGGCACATTGGCTCAGGCATTTGGGAGGCTTAAGATGGGAGAATTATAGTATCAGGCCACTCTAGGCAGGAAAGTCCATGAGATTCCATCTCCATTAAAAAAGCTGGACTACGCGGGCATTATCTATAATCCCAGCAAGAGGGGAAAGACTAAAACAAGAAGGTTCAGAGCATATGTCCCATGAGGGAAGCGAGATTCTATCCTAAAACTAATGAGTGAACAACAGAACCAGAAGAGTATCTGCCAAGTATCAGACTCTGAATTCAAACTCCAGTATCATCCCAGAAAAAGTTAAAAACCAAATCAATATTCAGACTCTGGGAACTGATCAAAATCATCTTATCCTCCTCTTCCTCCTTCTCTTCCTCTTCCTCCTCCTCCTCCTCCTCCTTCTCTTCCTCCTCCTCCTCCTTTCACAGCTTAAATGTTAATCAAACAAATATCAATAAACTGTAAGCCCTTTACTGGTAAGGTGCATTTTGTTAGTCTTTTTATTCTCAGAGCTAGCTCAATACTTATCTCATAAACAGTATTATTTTGCACAGAAAAAATAAAATAAAATAAAAATAAAACAAGCAGGGAAAATATAGATTGCTGGTAGCAGACATGAAATGCTGCACTTAACCCAAGCATGAATATTTTAAAATACACATTAAAAAACTGTCTTCATTACACACTATTGGTGTATACAGGACTAAGGTATGGCTGCAGTGAGTACAAGCTCCTGACAAGTGAGTACAAGGCCCTGAGTTAAAACTCCAGTACCACCACTGAAAGAAAGAGAAAGACTAACAAGAATAAACACTGTACATGTCGGAAATGAACGTTGCAACTTGGGATTGGGGGAGGAATAGGGGAGATGGGGGAGGAAAGGGATAATAGGAGAAAAGCAAAGAAGGGGGTAACAATGCTCGACAAGAAATGTACTCATTACCTTACTGTGACCTCTCTGTACAGCATCTTTACAGTAAAATAAAATTTTAAAAAGAATAAACACTGTACAAATGTAAAGATTGATCTGATATTTTATCATTTAGAAGAAACCCGGCAAAAGAGTAACTACAATATGATGATCTTGTCAATGTTTTAAAATATATGTAGAATTTATATGTTATTTACATAATATATAAACTAAATATTGAAAGTACACAAATATTGAGGAAATTTAGCCAAAGGAAAGGGGGCATAAGAAGTAGTTGATGATGGCTTTGCCCTTAGCACACTCCATTCAACCCATCCTCACAACAAACTCTGCTTTGCTGACTACTCTTAGCTTTGCTAACACCCTTATCCAGCTCTAGGTCTACCGTCAAACAATTTCCTCTGCTTCTACTCAGTCTTTCTTCATTTTCTCATTTTTTCATTGATATCCAATGAATCTTCAGTTTTGGACTCTAATATGACTGTCAATTTTCTCTGTCTATATAATCTCAGCTACTCAGAAGGCAAAGGCAGAAGGCTCGGTACAATGCCAGCTCAAGTAAAGTTAATAAGACACGATACGTCAATGCCAAAATACAAATAAAAGGGTTTAGATCATAGCTCAGGTAGAATATTTGCCTTGGGTTCAATCCTGTGTAGTGAAAAAAAAAAAAAAAAGTACCTTTACCAACCAGCAACTTGCCATTCCTGAAAATGCTTGGTAAATGTGCCTACTTTCACTATAAAATAGATCTATAATGAGACAGGCTCATGCCCGTCATCCTAGCTACTCAGTACGCTGAAATCTGAGAACTGCAGTTCAAAGCCAGCCCAGGCAGAAAAGTCCCCTCCAATAAAGCTGGAAATGGCACTGTGGCTCAACTGGTCGGGTACAAGCCTTGATCACAAAGAGGCTCAGAGACAGCACCCAGACCCTGAGTTCAAGCCCCAGGACCAAAAAAAAAAAAAAAGAAGCATCTATAATGATGTGTTTATAAATGTGTAAATAGGTGTATGTACATATTTACGATGTCCATGAACTTTTTAAAAGGTACATCTCTTTATAGTGTAATTTGGTCTCTACAAAATTATGGGCACCCTGAAGTTAAAGGACACTACCAAATGTCTTTGTACTATTCTCTTAAAGTACTGAGTATATTGATTGTCATACATGCAGTAGGCATTCAGTATTTGCAGAATAGAGATAAAGAAAAGACAATGTTCGAATATAACAGCATAAAAATAACTGGAGATACAAGTAATATAGCTCCCAAATCCTACTGAGGAATAATTCTATTTAATACAGAAAACTGTCACCAATAAATCTTAATGTGTTGCAGGAGTAGTCCCAAAGACTTCACATCATATATGAATTGTATTTTTTTATCTATTTTCCTGCCCAGGTCACTGGGAGTAAAAGTTGAGTTCAAATTATCTTGTGTTGATTCTAACTGTTCTCATTTTCTTTAGCATGGTCAAGAATAATCTAACTCAAATTATATTCCATCACTGGAGACAATAAATTTTAGGAAAACTGGCACTAAAATATATTCCAGTGTCTATATTTTTTTTCGTTTCTATTTAATATTATTTATTTATTTGTTTATTTATTTATTATTGGTTCTGGGGATTTCAACATAGGGCTTTTATTTCTTTGTTGCTTTGTATGTCCCTCCCCCACAGTGTCTATATTTTTAACATCATCATTTGGAGCTAACCAAAAAAAGAGGGGTGGAGAGGACTTAATTTACGAGGCTTAAGTGGACCAAAACATAAGTATGGCCAGGTGCTAGTGGCTCATGACTGTAATTCTAGCTACTTAGGAGGTTGAGATCTGATGAAGCTAGCCTTGGCAGGAAAGTTCATGAGACATGAAACTCTTACTTCTAATAACCACTCTTACTTCTAAATAACCACAAAAAAAGCTGGAAGTAGCAGTATGGCTCAAGTAGTAGAGAGCTAGCTTTGAACAAAAAATTGAAAAATTAAAAATTTATATATATATATATATATATTATGTATGTATGGGACAACACCCAACCCCTGTGTTCAAGTCCTAGACACACAAGTATACACATACACACATACACACACACACACACACACATACCTCACCCAAATATGGGTTCTGGGAAACCATAATAATCTAGGGAACTTTTTGTTTGTATGTTCTTGGATCTCATTAAATACATCTTATTTCCATAAGAATAAATTGTACCTAATATCTAAGCCAACAAACATCTAGGCTGCAGTGACAGTAACTCAGCCTGAGAAGAACCATCTATGTTACACACTATTAGCACTGAGTATGAAACTGTCATAAACACTTTATATAGAAACTAAAATAATTCAGTTCAAAATCCTTGCAGCAAAAGAGAGTCCAATTCAACATATTTGAAGGTATCACAAAATACTATTTCTTCAGGACAACTGATTCTAAAAGTATTTTTCCTTCACTACAGCAGCATTTATAATGACATCTATAATGGATTGGGACACTACTTTGTGTGAAAACAACTATTCTAAATGTATGTTATTAGCCCATGTACCACTCACGATTTCCAATTTGAAGCATAAGAAGAACTCAGAGAAATTAAGTGATTTTCCCAAATACACCCACGTATAATTAAAGAAGCTGTCAGAATATAGACCTATATTTTCTTGACTCCAACTTCTATACTAATCCCACAAGCAAAGGATTCAGATAACTTTATAAACTATCAAACATAAAAGCATTCCGATTCATTCTGTCTAGACATGGTGGCTGAGACAGAACTAAATGCATTATCCCTGCAACTTGAGTCGATTTAGTCATAAAATTATTGACAGAGATATATTTTTTTTTGGTTGGTTGTGGGGTTTGAACTCTGGACCTGGGCGCTGTCCCTGAGTTCTTCTGCTCAAGGCTAGCATTCTACCACTTGAGCCACAGGATCACTTCCGGTTTTCTGGTTAACTGGAGCTAAGTCTCATGGACTTTCCTGCTCCGGCTGACTTAGATCCTCAGATCTCAGCCTCCTGAGTAGCGAGGATTACAGGCATGAACCAGCCAGAAATTCTATTTTTTTAATTGCATAGTTGTTGTTTTTGGTGTTTTTTTTTTCTCTTTCACAAAGGAAAAAAAAATACTTGGGAAACACCAATAGAAACATGACTTCCAAAGTGTAGAGCACACACTGTGTTTTGCTTACATTGGTTTACCAGGGAGAGGAAACGTCAGCACTTACCTCTAGTGACGGCATCTAGTGCACATCCACTTCCGGTTGCTCCCCCTCCGATAACCAGGATGTCAAATTCGGATGTGTTCTTCAAAGTCAGAAGCTGAGCTTCTCTGGAGGGAGGCTCTCTGTTAACAAGTTCCGTTACATACTCTGCTGCTTCCACATAGGCTAGGTTCACCTGATGTCAAAGCAAACCAGTTTTAGTCACTCACCAGGAAATTGCAAGTTAAGAAAATTTACAGTATACTTAAAAAAGAAAGAAAGAAATTTGCACTGAAGATAAGAAACAGCCATAGTCCAAGTCTGCATGGAGTTTCAGGAATACTGCTGAAAAACCACTGGAGTTTTAGGTGGTACGTATGCTGGGCATGATTGCTATCATCAGCCTCAGCTGTTTATCTGCACAACATTTGGTTTTAGATGCAGTAATAATGCAACTGCTTGTTTAGGCTTTATATTCAACTATTTCCATCACTAAATGGCAATTTCCAAATACTTCATCTAAAACATATAAGGTAACAGTAGGAAATATTTTTCTTGAGAGCAGCAATTCATTCAGACATTGTTGAAAAGTGGTAACATTCCATGAAAGTAAAGAAAAAGCACTTTGTCTTCATGCAATTTCCTAAAAACATGTGTGCTTCCTTCCTCGATTGTTCTGCCAATAATAGTCTACAAGTTTCAATCAGGGCAATTAAAAAGAATCTGTTAGACACAAGTGGTGGTATGTATCTGTAATCTCAGACTAAGAAGGCTGAGGCAAGAGGATCATGAGTTCAAGGCTAGCCAGGACAACTTAGTCAAGACTCTGTCTCAAAAAGACAAAATAAAAGAATCTGTCTAATAGAAGTACCTATCCAGTTTAAAGAATCAGCTATGACCAAGTGTCAGTTGCTCATGCCTACAATCTAGCTACTCAGCAGGCTGAGGTCTGAGGATCATGGTTTGAAGACTACCTGGGCAGGAAAGTCTATCAGACTCTTATCTCCAATTAACCACCAAAAAACCAGAAGTGAAGCTACGGCAGTATGCCAAGCTTAAGCAAGAAACTAAGGGACAGAGCCCAGGCACTGAGCTCAAACCCCAGTGCACACACATACACAGACACCTCTGCTCACAAACACAGAGAATCAGCTATGTTCAGATGAAACTAAATTTTTCAAAGACATGAATCCATAATGTTGGTAGTGTTTCTGCTGCTGTGGCGACAGAGCCCTGTACCAGTGAGGAAGCTTCTTCATGAAAGGGTGATCCTAGTTCTTACAAAGAGAGTATTTGAATTATTCAGGATTAGTTACATTTTTATTCAGTTAAAAAAAAATCCTGGGCTGGGAGGGTGGCTCAGTGGTAGAGCGCCTGCCTTGCATGCATGAGGCCCTGGGTTGGCCTCAGCACCACATAAGCAGAAAAAGCCGGAAGTGGTACTGTGGCTCAAGTAGTAAAGCGCGAGCCTTGAGCTGAAGAGCCAAGGGACAGCGCCCAGGCCCAGAGTTCAGGCCCCACGACCAACAACAACAACAACAACAATCCAACTACCCCCTTTTTATTCGATTATCAAGCCAACTAGATTTCGAAGAAAATGCATCTAGAAGCCACAGAAACACCCAGAATAAAAACTGTGGGTTATACTGAGAGGGTCCCAGAATGGAGATTTTCACTCCTGTTAACTAGTGTTGTCAAGTAAGAACAAATTCAGGAGTGATACCCACTAGACACTATGTTGAAAATGAACTATAAAACCTGTGGGTGGGGACAGGAAGGAAAAACTGGGAGAGAGCGAGGAAAAGGATAACATCATCCCAAAAGAAATGTACTCTTTACATTTCTTACATAACTATAGCCTCACTGTATATCACCTTTACAATAAAAATACATAATTTTTTAAATTACATAACATCTCTTTGAATCTTGGTTTATCCACTTTTCAAACAAGGATAAAAATCCCTGGATGTTTCCATTACTGCACCTCTGGTTTGCACTCAGTCTAACTGGAATGATGACATTAAATACATTGACAAGCTACCCAACATCTGAGAACTACTGGTACTGCTGGTGGTGACTATTCGTTATTTCAGCACTAGGAAGCTCTAAGGCAGGAAGATTGTGAATAGGAGGTTAGTCTGGGGTACATAACTAGGCCTTGTCTCAAAGAAAAAAAAAAGTTTTTGACACCTTAGTATTACATAGCAAGGAACATTCAAAACATATTTTACAAAGTATCATAAAAACAAAGGTTATAATCAAGTGCTATAATTTTCCAAGCTCAATTCAGATGCCAAGCCATAAAAATCTTGCTGTTCTGCATATAATTCCTCCTAATTACTAATAACTACTACTAATAACTACTTCCTCATGCTTACCTTTAGATGCTTTTAAGATAAGATAAATATATTATTACTACAACTTGGAGAACAAAATAACTTTTAGTTATGGTCTTTTTCTTTTTTTCATCTAATGTGAAGGAAAAGATAAGAAAAAATACACACACACACACACACACACACACACAGAATACACACACATATATATATAACAAGTTTATAGAAAGAACAAATGCCAAAATAGAGAAAAAAGCAACACCAGGCTATGACCGCTCTGCTGAGGGAGGGGGAGCCTTTCATTTGAGGTTTCAACTGCGCCATGACAGATGGATAGGATTTGGACATGGACTGACAAGTGACTAAACCGCCAGAGCATTTTCACACATCAACAGAATTGCTGACATTTTCTGCTTGGTAAGTTTTTGAGAAATACTTGAAAAATAAATTTAAAGACCATGTTATGATATAGTTCATTAGAACCTGGTAATATTAAAAACTCCCTGTTCTGCTCTGACTATGCAGAATCAACTGAACTATTTGTGTTGCTCCTACAGAAGTAGGCTGGATCTGATGGGCACTGCTCATTCGCGTTGGCTTCTCAGTTTCTTCTGACTTCTCCTGCCTCAACTTTCTCCCCAGCATGCCCTAACCTGTCTTACCTAACAATTTAAAAAGCATTTCTTTCATGTTTCTAACAGCCATCCTAAAAATTCTTGAGAGATCCACAAGCCTTTATTGCCTTCATTTCTTCCCAACTCACTGTAAACTGTATTTCCACATGTAAACTCCCACCCCCACAATCACCACCATTATCCACACCACTCTCTCTCTCAAACACATGTGTGTGCATGTGCATGTTCATGTATGCACACATACACACACACACACACACACACACACTGGATGTCACTCAGCTGACCAACATTAATCAGCAAAGCATCTTTAAGTAGGTTCCATTCATACTTTACAGTTGACTAAGAACTGAACTCTCCTGTCCTCTACTGTCCTCTCCCTTCCCCTTCCTTCATTCCTCTCTCTCCACCCCTCTTCTCCCTTCCTCTCCTCTCTCTCATCTTCACCTGATCCTGTTCCCATAGCATCATAATTCTTTATACAGAGTAACTTCTCGTACACAGTAACTTCTCATTCTGAGACCTTTATAAACTGCATAACTAGTACCTCCATTTGCATGTCCGTGTGCATTTCAAAGTTTTCTGCTATTTCCCCAAATACGTTTTTTTCCTCTGTCAGAGTTCCTCATTTCAGAAGAGTGCCATTATTCATGTAGTTGCCATAACAGAAATTTAGAAACAACCTTGACAGCTTGTATTCTTTTAAATCCTATATCTGATCACTGAATCCTCCCAATTCTACTCTGAAAAATTCTCACATCTAAGCCATTTCTTCATCTTCAACTGCTACATTTCAAACCAAGGTATATTCTCTCTCCTCCTGCTCATGTGACATCTTCCCAGAGGTTTTCACACATTTACTATGCCTTGTAAATTATTTTCCACACTGCAGCTGAAGTAAACATTTTTTTAATCCAAGTAATTTAATTTCTATATACAAAACCTTTCAAGAGCATCTAACTTAATTTAGGTTAAAACATCTTTAGTCTAGTATATACTGTTCCCATAGTCTTTTAAACTGGCCAGGTTTTTTTTTAAGATTCAGATGCTTTTGAATAATAAGTATAAACAATATATATAAACAATATATAAACAATATTTAGGAAAAAGTACAGGATCCAAAAGCAGACAGATCAGTGATTTCCCGAGCCAAAACAAGGCTGGCCTGGAGGGCATGAGGAAACATAGGAGGATGATAGACATGTTCCATAGCTAGACTGTGTATTAGAAAGGATTATATATCTGCATTATAAAAGATTAAAGTCACTACATTTTAAATTGTGCCCCAATTACATCTCAATAAACTTAACTTCAAACTAGTAATCAAACATATATGTACCAGTTTTAATATGCCTTATAAAAACACTTTTATAGGGGCTTTCCCTTTTCCTCCTCATTTAATCTTCACAACAACCCTGAATCAGGTACTATTAAGCTTTTCACTACAATGAAGTAACTGAGACACGGTAATTGTCTCCTAATTACACCACCAGCTCGTTGTAGAGCTGAGAATTGAATCCACATAGCCTGAGAACAAAAACTAAGTCTTACACTACTACTCAAGACTGACTACACATAATTTGAGAAAAAAAATATATAAAAACAGACTAAATGGTTATAACCGGATATAAGATCTAACCCCTGCCAAAAGCAGGAAGATTTTTCTTTTTATTCTTTTTATTTTTTTTGGTGTGGTCTTATTGCAGAAGATTGACTGCACAGTTCCTACAATTTAAAATACACACACACACACACACACACACACACACGCAGCACTATTGAGGATAATTTATTTAATTCCTGACACTACTTTTAAAATAACATTTTATTTTTGTTTATTTCTTTCATAAAAGCTGGAAAGTGTTGCAACTGAGAAGCTAAGCACCACGTTTATTTTAGAGGCAGTAAACACAGCCTAAGGCCCTACTTATAATTATGACAGGAGAAAGACTCATTTTGGTTTCATATGGCTTTGAGTCACAAAAACACATCTGCACTCTACCTTCTCTAGAATATGTTGATTTCAGGAAAATAAAGAGGGGAAGGCAGCAGGAATAATAAAGCAGTAGTAGTGCTAAGTAACAGAACACTCAAAGAAAAGTGTTCCCAGTTGTCTAAGACCTGCCCTTTCTTCACCTCTGCTCCAAGGCTGTTTGATTAAACAGAAATCTGTGAAAAATGGCCTCAAATTCTGGGATTGCTGAGAGAAGCCTTGGGCCTCCATA